AGGAGGTTGGTGGAGGTGGAAGAGGGCATAGGCGTGATGGAGAAAATAAAATAAGAGTATATGAAAATGCCAATAAGTATAGGAAAAGAACACCAACCTCATATGCCATTTTGGAATTTCAAATTAAAACAAATATCTCTACACACTTATTAGAATTATGAAAATCCTAGCACTTCTAACAAGAATGTGGAGCAACAGGAACAGAAACACAAAACTGTATAGCGACTTATGGAATACAGTTTAGCATAGTCTTACAAGGCTAAACATACTCTTACTATACTATTCAGCAATTTTGTTTCCAGGCTCCCCTCCCCGGATGAGTTGAAAATATATGTCCACATTAAAATGAAAGGGAGAGAATTCATTTGAAAATAAATGAATACATAAAATTAATGGAACTAATTTGAGTTTCTACCAACTACCCTAAAACTTTCAGATTCCTGAAAGTTTGCTTGAACCCTTCTTCTGAAATTCTTTTCAAAAGCTTTGCTTATTTTAGAAACAACTTAGATATCCTTCACTACAGAAAGTTAACTGTAACATTCATAGAATGAAAATTATGTAGCCATGAAAAATTATCTTATAAAAAATTTAAAATTACATTAAACATTATTATGGACTAACAATTATTATGGCCTTTGGAGCCAGACAAGCATGGGGCTCCATTCAGTCTGCCACTTACTACCTACGTAAGTAAGCTTGAGCAAGTTTACTTATCCTTGAAGTTCTAATTTTCCAATGGCATACAGTTGAGATAGATATTAACATCTGCCTCCTGGTGTTATTGAGATAATTAATTGTTATAAAACAAATAAAACAATGATTTCTGTGCCTGCCACAGCTGTTTGAAAGGCAGTAGTAGCAGCAGCAGTATATATGGTACAAAAAAACTTAGACTGAAACTTGTAAACAGAAAAGCAACTTAATGTAAACATGTGAGGGGATAACCATAGTTACTTACCTACAGATGGTGGGCTCATGGGTGACTTTTTTATTCTTTATACTTTTTTGTAGATGACATATCATCTAAGACAAATGTGTTATTGTTATAATAAAAAGTTAAAAAATTAAATTCTAGGCCATAAAGCCACCAAGCTGCTATCATTAATGTAAGTCAAAATAGTATACAAGCTTCTTTCCCCCTTAAATCTCATTACTAGGTAATATTTAACCTTATACAAAAGTTAGAGTGCTCTGCTTATATATATAACCTATGATTATTGTCTGTGTTCTGCAATAAAAAGTTGTCACTGTTTTTGAATGCCATATAGCCTCAGAGGCCAAGCCCAGAACACTGCCACCCAGAGGCTGAGCCACAAACTGACTCTTTACTAAACACAAAATAAGGCAGCCTGGGAAACAAATCCGGCCTGCTCTAAAATAAGGACTGTGGTTTACAACACAGAGGAACAGCGCATCACAGGGAAACTCAGCACTCTCCTGAATACCTGGCAGGACTAAAGGCGAGCCAGACTGAAGAATAGAAGAACCGAAGGACCTTCACTACTGCAATTTTTTTTTTCTTTTTTCACCTTTTAACAAAGAAACCATTTTTTTTCTTTCTTTTTTTTTCTTTTTTTTTATTTTTTTTCCCTTTTTTTTCTTCTTTTTTTTTCTGCTCATTTTCCATCACCTGGTTTTACCCTTTTAATTAATTCCTTCTTATTTTTAACCAGTATTATTACTGCTACCATTTTACCATCTTTTAAAGTGCCATTTCATTTTCTCTCTATTTTATTTTGGGATTAGTGTTCTCCATTCTATTTTCATCATTATATTATTGGTTGTTTCTAGTTTGCATCCATCTACAGGGAGCTGTTGCTGGAATTTGCTGAGATTAGTGGTGGTTCTATAGGAGTATTTTCATCATATCAAA